TGGGTATGCTTCTAAGGGACCCAACATGGGCCCATACCTGCATTTTCACCACGGGAACAGCATATCTTGATTTCATCTTTCAAAATGTATCAGTTGCATAGATGGGTCATCTGGGTGCCGGGAAAAACTTCTCTGTCACTTACAGTTACTTATCCAGACAATTCCAGCTACGGATATCAATCTGCACATTTAGTATACTGATAATTCCTTAAATTTGTATAACACTGCTTTTTTAAACTARGATCATTGTAGGAGAAACTGGGGACTGCAAATACCTAACAGGAGCAAAAAATAAGAAAGTAAGACTAGCAATAGCAATAAAAATTAGGCCACTCATCTCTTTTCTTGATCTAACAGGTGACCATTGCCACTGCAAGAAACTTTTCCAGAAAATCTTGTCTCCTACACTCAAAAAYGTTTCCTTCAGCCTGGAGGCAAAACAGCCTCCTCAAAGCGGGCAAGCAGCAAAGCTGGAAGTGTGACCACTGTGATCCTTTGGAAGTCTTCAGAAGAGGAGAGTATAAAGATACCCTTCAAGTGAGCGYGTGCTACTGTGGTAAAAATCTTAGTAAGCTAACTTCTCCAAGAAACTAAGGATAGGAGGTTAACCCATACCTGACATAATAATTGGCTGCTGGCTGTAACCAGGGASCTCCCCAAACACCAATGGGCATCTGAGCTCAAAGCCTGAGTTCTAATCARTCTAAAAAGTGCTCCCTCCCATCATTTTAATGGTGACTAAATTAGAAGGTTATRGGGATACAGAAGTACAGTGGAATCACAATATTAAATCATTACATATGAAAGAAGTGCTATTTACCAGGGTAAATTTTATTTGGTTAAATATAAATTGTAACATTCTAGTGATGTACTACGCAGATGTACAGTAGACTAAAGCAAATTATAAGATGGAATACRACACAGGTAAACACATTGTGATGATGGAGTACAGATTTCATTACTGRGAAACACTCCAAAACTACCAGTTTAACAATGACGACCCTCAAAACAAAACCCAAACCCCAAAACACTTGCTCTTGAGATGAAGTATGAACAAACTKAAGCAGGTACAGACATGGATGTGACTTAAGTGTTACACTACCACAGATGGCTTTTCAAAATTCATTTTTACACGAGTTATGACGAGCAATTTTTTTAATTCTAAATAGTTTCCAGAACAACGCCTAAGAAGACATCTCGCAGATTCTTACTGAACTCTTGATCTTTTAATGCAAACATATTTTGGATGACGCTGATTGTGACTCGGCACTGACAATGAGCAGACCTCCTAAACGCAGAGCCCTTGCCTTTTAATATATATATATATTAACTCTATATATATGTATTAACTACACTACATGCAGGTTCCATTTCCTCTCTTCACAAAGTCCATCATMTACTCCCACCAATTCTACTCCCCCCCTTTCCTCATCCTTCCTCAGCAAAACTGCCAGCCTCATTCCCTGACCTGCCTCAGTAGGATTCCTGCCTTGTGCTCTTTATGCCCCTCAATCATATGGAACCTTCTGTCTTTTTTTCTCTTCTGTTCAGAGGAAAGAGAATTCAAGAACTATTGTGAAAAATACAGGCTATGTATGATCAAAAGATTAGAAACGCAAAATGATAGGATCTGGCAAAAAAACAAGCCTCTTTTCCTATAGCTTTTGCTGTGGTGATAGGAAATCAAATGTAAGCAGTGGAAGGAAAAGTTAAGCTTTGGTGGCTCATTAACAAGTTCTGTTGTTTCAGTTATCCTGAAAAGATGTAGAGCTAGGTCCTTCCCCACCAGTGAAGTCAGTGACATCSCCATGAAGAAACAGATACTTTGCACTGCAATGAGAAAAAAATCTGTGCACATATCTATCAGATATACACCCAAAAAATAGCACTAAAACATACACATAGTAGGTTTCTTTCTTTCATAAGAAAGAACTTTCATAAGTTTCCTTCTTTCATAAGCCCAGATCTCCAATGGAATGGTATCACAAGAAGATGCCTTTTGGGGTGAAGAACTGGGCAYAATTCACAGGTGTTTTAAAGCATTTTCAAAGAGTGACAAGTCAATAGCCATGTATTTTGTGCAGGTCAAAACAAACTGTCTAGATAGAGCATGACAGGTGCACCTTTCCTAATGGCTAGAGACCCAGTCTTGGAATCAGAGGATCTGCTTCACTATGGCCTGCTGCCTAACCTTCCCAAGGTCATTTTTCATGATACTTAACAAATAAAACACACAGTATTCGAATTCACTTCCCACATTCATACCAGTGTAAACCAGAGTTAGAGTCAACCTAAGTTTACAAAGGTGTGGAGGAAAATCAAACCTGATCTTTGTCCCCAAAGAAGAGGCTGATGGAGTTAAATGCTTGTTTAAACTTGGTTCAGTCTTTAAAACATCTCTGATGAGGTTCTTCTACAAGTAAAATTATAAAGATTTTTTACAATTGATTATCTCAAATAAGAATTTAAGATTAGTCAAATTTATTCTTATTTGACATAATTCTTGGGGAACAAGGTAGGTTGAGCTGGAAACAAGATACATAAAGACTTTAGCCTCCAGGCTGAACAGCCCGAGCAGAACCCAGGCTCAACAATATTGTTGAAAAGTTGTCTGTTAAGAAAAAAACATATGAACTGTCCCTTCCCCTCAAAAATTAGGAACAAGCAGGCAGCCTCAATCCTGTTCCTMGCTGGCAGCAACAGGAATCTGCAAAAACTGGCAGTAACAGAAATCTCCAAGTTTTTCTAGGTCAAAGCTAAGGTTCAGCAGCTGGAAATCAGTATGGGAAATCTTACGCTGCTGCTGGCTTTCTAGAAAAAAAATAGTTCATTCAGAAATCTGTCAGCCTGGCACTGTTTATATAAGCAGCAGTGTCACAACAAAACCTATACATAACTTCCTTGTAGTTAGCAAATGGCTTAAATACGTTAGTATTACTTTACTGGTATAGACTGCTAACCTGGAATTACCACACAACCCAGGAAGACCATACTCTTGTGCAGCTTGATGCCACCAGTAAACATAAGTGAGATACGTATGCTGACAGAAGCAGTTCAACCATCCTGAGCTATGGCAGAGCAAACAGCCTTTCTTGTGCCTTGCAACGCTGCTGTTACTCATGCACATCCCTCAGTACTGTTCAAGACAGTATTTCATGCAAAGACAGGGATTACAGCAGCAGCACTTTACTCCTTTGTACAGCATAAACTTTTTTTTAGTGCCACGGTAGTTGCACAGGGAGCATTCCAAGCATGGCTCGAGAAGCTTAYGTCTTGGTATTCACAGAAACAGCTTGCTGGCCGTAAGGCAACACCAGGCAGATAAACTGCAGGGAAATTTCTTGCTTGGGTATCACTGACTTGTCAGGTGGGACCCTGAGCACTACAAGGCAAACAGCTCTGCTGCAGGATTCACCCTCACAGCTAACCCCAAGCAGCCTGCACTTCCCCAGGAGGGCATGGCTGTGACTYCCAGGCCTGGCTGTGATCAAGATGAACTTTTTTCCCACCAGACACCTGAACACTGAGGAAAACGCCACCCAGCCCATGAGAAGCTTGAACTAGGCAACTTCACAGCAGTGCCTCTCTGGGTCCCACCTCAACGACGGTCCCCAAACCCTCGTGCTGGGCGAAGGCCGGTAAACGGCTCCGCTGCCCATCACTAGGAAGATATGCCGACATCCATTTTGGGAGTGGGAGAGCCCAACATTGATGGCAAAGTTTGGGGCCCAGTCCGAAGTTTKGGGGCAGTGCAAGATGTGCAAAGAGAGGGTTGACTAAAACACACGTACAAACGGAGGGCGGCTGAGCTGCGAGGTGCGCGCCGCTGACCGGGCGAGCAGCGCCCGGCGCCTCTCGCCCCGCTGGCGGCGGAGCGGCCACTATGCGCCCCCGAGGCCGCGCACCGCGACGGGGCCGGGAGGGACACAGGACGAGGAGCAAGTTGGGCTCGCACAGAACTCCTTCCCGGGGTCTGGGGCAGGGCAGGCCCGGCGCGGTCCCCGCCGAGCTCGGCCCCGCCGCACGGCCCGGCCGCGGCCCGGCCTTGGCGCAGCGACCGCCGCCGGCAGCCGGACCGGGTGCGAGGAGCTGCGGAGAACTGCGAGGGGGTCCAGAGGGGGCTTCCCCGCGGCCCCGGGAGCGGCAGCGSTACCCACCTGTGCCCCCGCCCGCCTCCTGCGCCCCTCGTCGGACGGGCGTCTGGCGGCGGCCGGGGGCCCGGGGCGGATGGTGGGGTGGGCGCCGCCGCCCCCCRACAGAGCGGAGCGGAGCGGGCCGGCAGCACCGTGGCGCAGCAGAGCCCGCACGGCCCCGGGGAGGCGGAGGGTGCCGGCGGAGCCCTCGGCCGGGAGCCGCCGCGGAGGCGGGAGGAGTGGGAAGCCGGGACGGAGACTCGGACATCGCCGCTGAAGCCGCCCCCTCCCCTCCCTCTAGGTTACCTGCTTCCCGGGRACACTTTGGAGACGCCTCCAACATCGGCAAACACTAAAGAGAAGTGACCCCGCCGCCGCGGCGGCCGCCGCCGGCCCCAACCACTGCGCC